TGTTCAACAAAATCAATTAATCATGGGAGGCGGACGGGAGAGAAGAGTCCCTTTTGGCACATAATTGAGGTTCTACTGTATAATTTTCACCTACAAAATATATAATCAATTCACTTTACAGAATATTCTGTGAAGCGCTTTGAGACATCTCAATGATGTGATAAGGTGCTATAATCAAATGCAAGGATTAATATTATTATTATAAGCTTTTATTAATGCCTAACTGATGCATTGTTTCCTTTTTGTGGTTTAGTTTTAGAACCCCGGCACAGTATATAGTACATGCAGTAACAATACATTTTATGTGAAGTTGTACTTTATTGTTTCATGAATAGATGGGTTTCAGTAATAAAGTTCACTTGATGGATGTTTATGGAGGTAGTTACAACTAATATTTTGTCATCTGGTGCTGAATTTGTCTACAAATACTCAGTTCCTACACGTTACCTGCTACCAACCTGCCAGCTCCCTCCGTTCAGCGGGCTCCAGCCTGCTTCAAGTTCCCCAAATACATTTTGAAAAAAATCTATGGAACATATTAATCCTTATAAAATGCCATTCTGTACTTTCAAATCTGCTTCTCCAATGGTAAATAATAAAATAGTTGTTGCATTTGATTTTGTGACTTTCACTTCGGGAGGACATCTCAAAGCACTTCACACAATTTATTGTAAAGTATAGAGACTATTTTATAGACAAACATGGCAGCCAATTTGCTACAAATAGTAGTGACCCACAAACCACCATGAAACTGAATGGCTAATTTTATCAATGGGATTGTTGGCACTGGGAAAATCTCTCTTTTCAATTTATTCCATGGGATCTTTAACATCCATCTAAGCAGGCAGATAGGACCTTGGTTTAATGCCCTCCCTGAAGGTTAGCACTCCAACAATGCAGTGCTCCCTGCCTCGGATGTGAGTTCATATTCCTGATGTGGATCTTGAACCCACCACCTCTCACTAAAGGCAAGAGTCCTACAGTCTGACGCCCTAAACTGATGATCTGTTTTAGGGCAATTTAATTTAAATCATATTTGTGCTGTTGTGAAAGGGTTTCTGTTTTTTAGGTGAGGCAGATGAGCAGTATATGGAGTATATTGGAGCTAAAGCAGCTTGAGGTCTTGTCATTTCCTTTCCCTAATGTTATAACCATTAATAAAGCTAAGTTTTGATTTAGACATTAGAATTCAGTGTTTGAAACCTTAAATTCTAATGTTCAATGTACTGCTCCCTTTCTTGAGCGAGTCCACTGACCAGATGTCAGAAGTGTAACAATTGTAATACAAGTAACATGACAACACAGCACAATAACAACATATTGCAATGATATAGCACCTTTCACATTAGGGTGACAGCCCAAGATGCTGGACAGTGAAGGGTTCGCACCCGAGCTGATGGTTGGAATCAAGACCCCTTGATGGGGCCAAGGGAGATGGGGGTGGGAGGATGACTGAAGGCACAGAGGAAGGTCTTGAGAAGGGTTTTGAAGAAAGCAAGGGAGGATACAAGGCAAAAGGGTTCCAGAGTGGAGTTACAGAGGGTGAGAGCAGAAAGGCTGAAAACCGTCGATCGTGGAGTGGGTAGGGCGGGGAAATGAAGCAGACCAGTGCCGTGAGAGGAGGGAGTTGGAAGGTTGGTAACGTTTTAGTAGGTCCCAGAGATAGAGAGGAGCAAGACCTCGGAGGGCTTTAAAAGTGAGGATGAGGACCCTCTGGGAAAGCGGAGTAGGGGGAACCGAGCGAGGATGGGAGTGATTGGCTCATGGAGCTTGGTAGGGAAGAGGATACGAGCTGCAGAGTTCTGAATAATCTGCAGATTTCTGGAGGGAAGAGTTGGGAAGCCTGGTAAACTGGAAGTTAGCATTGCCAAGCCTGGCTGTGATGAAAGCATGGATAAGAGTCTCGGCAGCCTGAGAGAAGAGGTAGTGGCAGATGCAGACAATGTTTTGGAGGTGGAGGAAGGCAGAATGGGTCAAGATATGGATGTGGGGTTTAAAGGACAGTTGAGGGTCGAACAAGACACCAAGATTCCATACTGGTGAGGTGGAGAATGCATCCATGAATAAGTGATGCTGTCAGCACCTGAGCTGTTGGGAGCCAAGCCAAGGAGGGTCTTCTTTTGGTCGACATTCAACTGTAGAAAGTTAGCTCTTGATGTCTGTCAGACATTCTGTCAGGACAGTAGTGGTCCTGGAGTCGAGGGTGGAGGCAGAGAGATGGAGTTGGATGTCATCTGCATATGTTTGGAAGTTAATCCCATGCCTGTGGGAATCTTTAAATATTAAAGAGGAGAGGACCGAGTCTGAGGAACACCACTCATGACAGTGCGAGGGCTCGAGGAGATGTTGCTGGTGCATAGCACAGTACAACAGTCCATTTCTTTCAGAGTAAGTACATTAATGGAACATACTTCAGTGGGGCATATGAAACAACATTACACAGTATTCAGAATTGGAAATGTTTTATAGATTTGTGCCCTGAATGTTGCAAATCAAATAATCATAAATCAAAACTGAGATGCCATCTGCTTCCCGATTTCTTCCCGAGGAATTTTTCCTCTAAAGATTTAATGTGAAATCTTACCAAAGTATTTTCTTCTCCACTGATTCTTCTCCTAGGCATATGGCTAAAGTCCCTTTTTCCCCATCGCCCTTTACATCTCCCTTCACTTTATATTTTGGGAATTAATTCTGCCAGGCACTACAGCTTCTTCAGTTTTTGTCTCCAGATGGATAATTAACCGTTTAAAAGTCTTCTTTAATATCTTTGTTTGTCGCAGAACTACACATTATTTTGCTTTTAGCTACAGGAAATTAGTACAGAAAACCTCTGTTGTAATGCTCCCGGTAAAGCATTGACTAGTTTATAATTTTGGTGTTCTATTGGCCTGTGCTAACTGGAAGCTTGGTGCACCGGTCTTCCAGCACCGACTGGCCAATGTCTGGGTCATCAAGTCGTCACTGGCATTTCTTTCTGCATGCTTACTACGTGTACTTTGAGGAAGTAATATCAGTGGTGCATTCTGCATGCAGTACAGTTTTGTGTACACGCACTGATCTTGATGAATAAATCATCTGTACTATACGAATCACATCCTCTCCCACCAAGCAGGGTGTTAAAAATAATTAATTGCAGTTATTTACTTTATGTTTGACTACAAATACAGTCACTAGATTTAACTGTATTTACCGGGAAGTGCCTTGAGATGTTTTTACATAAGATAAATGCAAGGATAATTATTAATTTCCCCAAAATTGTTACAAGCTCATCTTGGGCACTGCATTTCATAACTGGAATTTTACTACAAACTTTGCTCTTTATTCTTAACAGAACTTGCTACTTCAAGTCACTTATGTATTTTTATCTTACCTTTATATGAAATTGTGAATCTTTACAATAACCTGCACTTATATTGAAATTTCCATGTAGTTTTCAACGTCTCTGTGGTCTTGACAGATATTGTGAGAGCTCAGAGCAGGTAGAAAGAATAGAGAACTAAGGATGCTGAGCAGAAATACGGTCAAGAAGATATAATTTTTTAGTAGCGTTTTGAAAGCAAGGGGAGAGGAGGCAATGCGAAAACATTTTGGACGAGCGCTCCATAAGACAGAATCATAGTAGCTGAAAGTTCAACCAATAATACAGGGTGACCAAAAAGTCGTGATATCATTACAATGTCAAATAAGTCTTAAAGAATTTTTTTTTAGTTAATAGGTCGATATCACAACTTTTTGGTAGTACAACACAGATAGTGAGGAATGAGCAATAGACATGGTTTGGAAGCATGGAATATCTGCAGGAGAATAGGGCTGAAAGAGATTTTGCACAGGTAGAATTTTGTCGTTGTTAATATCAGGTTTGACAACAAGCGGTTCGGGGCTTTCTGGTTGATTGATCACTCATTGTGGATCTTGGTGTAGGAATCTATCAAAAACTAATTTTTTATTCCTGGTGATCATTCTTGTCGTGCATGTTGTGTGGACATTTCCTGGAGTTCTCATTAATGCTAGTTGAAATTTTAGTCACCCAGAAAGTCAGCCCCAAGTCATTGATAATCATAACATGACCGAGGGATTACTTGCTTCCCCTTCACCCGGAGTCTTGGCAGACTCTGATCCTCTACAGTTACTGTAGCATTTGTATTCCAAGTGAAAGGAGCAGTTGTCAAAACTACCTCCGGCATAGCTCAATTCAGAGACTTACGTTTTGTGAGGAATCACAACTCCAAACCTCAATCTAGTCATTCCCCAGTGTATCATTTTGGTGCATTTCTGTGAATTGTTTTGAATTGTAGTCATTGACAAAAAAAACTCTAAATAAATTAGATTGAAACTCCATCCTTTTTTTCAGCAAACTACTAATGCAGGTTATAGAACATAGCTGTCAGAAGTAAAATTTGTCTCCTTGGTTCCCTCGTGTGCTAAGCTGAGGCTGTTTCTGTGAGGATGTGCGATTTTACAGAACTTAATGTTTTGTTACAAAGATGCCATTAAAAACCTAGCCTTAGTATATTCTATTTGCTTAGGATTTTAACATTCTGAGAGAAATGCTTCAGTTTTTACATTTCTTACTCCAAATTCCTTTGTTTACCTAGCACTAAGGAAGAAACCGGTTGTTACTTAATGGGCAAATCCATTCCGGAGGTAATGGTTTCTGTCGGTGTGGTTAGCAAGTGGTCTGATCTTCTCAGATATTCCTTGACTCCAAATTACACTGCTTGCTTGCAAAGAGTGTGATTGCTGTGTGGGCAGCAGCTTCTACACTATAAACAAATTCAAGTACCCAGGTGTTCATATTGTGTGAACAGCCATTTTCAGTTACACAGTGCAATCATTATTTACTCTCTCCTAACAGATCTGTTAAAATGTATGACGTGTATTTCTTCTAACAATATTTGCTTGAATAATTTTTCATTAGAAATGTACTAGTATGTATACACTATTTTATATATATATATATAACATATATTTTAGAAATAAAAGTATATCTTCTTTTCCAGCCGATCAAAAACCCTCCATCAGGAAAGAAGTATGTACGATGCCCTTGTAACTGTCTTCTTATCTGTAAGGACACCTCACGGCGTATAGGATGTCCAAGACCTAACTGGTTGGTATTATGCTATTGCCTTCTAGTTAATAGGAGTCCAATAATTAATTCTAGTTTGAATTTTTCGGCAAGCTTTCAGAACAAACCATAATAGGATAGGCATAGAGAAACAGAGACGGAAAATGAGGCAGAGAAAGTCACAGATACATCAGAGATACAAACACTCATTCAAAACAACATAGTTACATCAGTAACTAACATTTTCCTCCTACTGACATACATTCTCAAGGAAAGCCTCCTCTTTATTGACCAATCTGGGCAAGGCCACTCCACTAGTTTGAAATAAAAGGTCACTAAACAACAAATGTTCCATCTCAGCAGGGGTAAATTAGAAATTCGTGAAGGTAATATAGTACTGCAATTTTCCCTTATTTCCTAAGTATTTGCATTCAATTGTACATTATGAATGAATTTTTTTAAACGTTGCTGTTTTTTTTCCCTTTCCTAATCTGGCACTTGGATCATCAAAACCATATTCACAGATGGTTTCCATTAAAGTACTTGGGCTGTGGCCAGATTTTTTTTCTCATTGTTGGCTCAGTTCTAAGGGAATTTTTTTTTCTCTCTGATGGTCTAAACTTGTTGCTAAGCTTTCTGCAATTGGCAATTTTTCAGTATATTACAAAGCCTAGAGAATCCCCCCTCCCCCAAAATAAATGCTGTAATAGGACTTACAACTGAATGCGAATACTTTTTGAATTTTTTGCAATACTGCATTTGACAAGGGCTGTGAAATATGCTGCATTTTCATGTACAGGGACTTAGAGTATAAAGGTAAAGAAGTCATGGTAAGTTTGTATAAATCATTGATTAGGCCACAACTGAAGTATTGCATCCAGATCTGGGCACCTCACTTCACAAAGGATGTTAAACCTTGCCCCTCTTCTCCTCTGACTTCACTGCCCTCCTCTCCGTCCTAAACCTCACCCTCCACTTAAACTCGCTGACCCACAACTGTGGCCACACCCTCGACTCGCCATCATCCATGGTCTTGACATCTTTGATCTGCCAATCACAGACAAAGCCATCTCAGACCACTGCCTTATCTCTCTCTCTCATACCACCTTCCCCTCCTTCAAGCCTCCCACCATCTTTTTCTGCCCATGGAAAAAGCTACCCCTCCCCTCCACCGAGTCTCTCACAAACAAACTCTCATCCTCAGTCCTTCTCCTCCTCTGGGCTGCTTTTTTTTTAAGGACTTTCCTTTGGACTTCGACCCGCATTGATCCAGACGCAGCCGTCCAGCTGCTCTTTAATTGTGCTTACCATCACCTCCCCCTTCCCTCACCCCCTGGCTTGTTGTCTCCACCATTGTGCTGTGGGATGCTACCCTGCGTGACAGGTAAGGCAGGACGGTGGAATTAAAGTAATATCCGTGCATTGTGAACTGGTGCAGACTTAATGAGCCGAATGGCCTTCTTCTGCGTCATAGATTTCTATGTTTCAATGATATTGATTCAAGTTAAAGCAAATAGTCAAAGTTACATCACTATCAAAATGAACTTTTATGAGCATTATCAGTGATTTATGTAGGCCTCTGCATAGTAGAGCTAAAAGACAAAATTAGAGAGAGAGGCACACACAAGAAAGATACAGCGATAGACAAAGATATACTGAGTGTATTTTACTATTTTATATTGTTGTCCTTAGGCTTGAAATGTGTCAAGTTCAGATTTGCTGTGTTCGATTGACTAGCACTATTACATTGCCTCTGCACTTTCAAATGCCTCTATATCCTTGCTGCAACCTACCTCCATGATCTCATCCAGTTCCCGCCCTTTCTCACATCCTCCATCCTATAAATTCAGGCCTGCTGCATGTCTCTCGAATTTTCAGCCACTGTGTCCCTACTCGTTGGCACTCTCTTCCAGAATCCCTCTGCCTCGCACTCTCCCTTTGTGCTTTCAAAACTCTTCCATAAAATTACCTCTTTAGCTATTGCCATCTCCCTCCTAACCCTTCCTTCTAACCTCACTCAGGGTCCTACTCCATCTCTGAAAAATGCTTTGAGGCATTAGGCTATGTGAAAGGTTCTATATAAATGCAAGTTGCCAAATATAACTGAAACACTTTTGACAGCCAATTTAAAATGAGATCAATATCCAAAATCATTTTGCACAGTAATGAGTTTCTAGTGAGTCGGCACCAGATTCCCATTCCTTTGTTACAGGAAATGATTTTGTCCACCTCCGTAAATTGCTTGCTTTGTACAAATGAAATCATTCTCGAGTTAGTATATATTTTAATAAAGAGTATTTGGATTGTGTATATGATATATGAGTTAGTCTTATGAATAAGAATTAGATTGTTCAATTATAAAGTGAGAAATATTTTGTGAGCAGTCGAATTAAATATCAGTACAATCTATCTGGTCCAATGTTGTACCCTCTTTCCCTACAGTAGACGTATAATTAACTTGGGCCCGTTGTTGATGATCCCAGAAGAGCAGCCAGCCCAGCCTGCCCTGCCTTCGCAGCCTGAAGGTACGCGAGTGGTGTGTGGACACTGTGGGAATACTTTTCTGGTATGTATACAGCTATTGAACAAAGAGCTCTGTAATGGTGACCAATGGTGTGCAAACTGTGTGCCATGAACAATGAATGATAACTCGGGAGTGAAAGACCTCAAAGATTTCAAAATAGATTTTAATTTGGAATCAGTTAATGTGACAATTGTGAACTGGGTCACAATCCAGTTTAGACTTCTGGGATGAAATAGTCTTTACCCACTTTTAAACAGTTTTGACCAGATTCCTCATGACTGCAAGATAACAGCACAAAAATACAATGTCATTGTTCCTGATTGTCCTTTATATAAAATGTCATAAAGTAGCTTCTAAAAGGTTTTGTTAAAAGCTAACTATAGTGTGCATTTTGAGTGCTATTTCGCTAAATAATAAATATTGCCTTTTAACTGTTCCATAATTAATTATTCAACAGTTATATTGCGAACCACTAGAGGCAAGCACAAAATAATTATCAAAAAGTAAAATTAAAATGAATAATTCCTGTTTGAATTCCTTGCCCCTTTTTTCCCTAATTCTGAAACAGTTGTGAGCAAGTTTGTGAAGGGTGAAGTCAGGAAGGATAGCAGAGCAGAACTCTCCTGCCCCTGAATAGATCCCTGCTAAATTTGAGAAACGTGAGCTGTTCTACCAGCTGCTCTCTTGTGTGTGGATATCTACTCCACCATCTCTATCCAATTCCATTCAGTAGGTATTTCAGATAGTTGAGGGAATCAGATATGTGAATTCCGTATCTATGTGTTAGAAGCTGGAGCAGTGTCCCACAAACAGTCGTGGATTGAGTGACCAAAATCCCTTTCTGTGACTGTCGTATTACTGCAGTTGATCACAAAATGATGTAAAAATAACAACCAATAATTGGAAGTATATTACAAACCTGTAATGCAATCTGCTTGTAATGATCTTTCTTTCCCAGAAAACTCTTATATTGTTATCTCTTTCCCTTATTATCTATTTGCATCTCCAAATACATTTGTCACTATCTCATTTTCTTTGCTGCTTTTTTGAACCTGGATGATAACCTGTTCTATTTGTCTTGGTCCTTCACATAGGTTTCTTCAAAAAGTATCAAGTTACTGTAGTTATGCCGCAGGCTTAAAACAGATTGCCAGCTGTTACCTTTTCTGTGTAGTTTTAATAATAATAATACTTGTATTTGATATAGTGCCTTATAGAATCGTTAAGATGGCTCAAAGTGTTTCATATTGTAAAGTGAATTGACTGTATTTTGTGGTTGAAACGCGGCAGGTATTTGTGCCTAGCAGTGTCCAACAAACAGTCGTGGATTGAGTGATCATATTTTTTTTTGGAGGGATTATTAACCCCGGAAAGCAATCCGTCATTTGAATAACAACCAGAGTCCTATAGCTTTGTGGTTAGAGCATTTGCCTCACAAGGGAGAGGACCTGGGTTAGATTACTGGTCAGGGCGAAATGTTAGTCAAGTTTCCTTAGTCTACACGCCTCTGTTTACCTAGCAGTAAATAGGAACCCGGTTGTTAATCGATTGGTAGATTGTTTTCTCAGTGTAATAATCCTTTATTTAAAAAAAAGATTTTTTAAAAAAAATGTATCAATTTGGTTACACATTGCACGGCCGTTTGTGGGACACTGTTGTGCACAATTGGCTGCCGCATTTCGTCCACAAAATATATATCTCTTCTGGGATCATCAATAATGGGCCCAAGACAATTATGCGTCTACTGTGGGGAAAAAGAATGCTGCATTTTCCAGATAGTATATTTTGTGGAGAGCTTTGAGTTGTCTCGAAGACGTGATAAGGTGCTATATCAAATGCAAGGATTATTATTACTGCTAGGTAAGCAGAAGCGGGTGGAGTAAGGAATCTTGCCTAACGTTTTGCCCTGATAGGGAATCGAACCTGTGCGTGCGAGGCGAGCGCAATAACCACTACACTACAAAACTCCACAATTACTAGGGATTTTGTCATTGGAGATATTTTCCACTATTTACAGCTTTTTCTTTCTGCTGCCACATGCTGTGTGGCTTTGTGTCTGTGATAGTGATTTATTTCCAATAGTGACCAGAAGTGTAAATAAAAGGTGTGGTCTTCATGAATAATGAAGAGTTGCACTGAAAATATACTTCATCATTAGATACTGAAAATCATGAGGAACTGATTGCATGGAATATTTGTGATAGGGCTCTGCCAGTTATATTGTTATATATGTTCCTCCTTCCAGTTTGAAGTGCTCTGTGATGCTACCCCACACAAAGAGGGCTATATAAGTGCAAATTGTTGTTGTAAAGTTATAATGAAACTGATAATTTTAAGGATATGTCAATTGTGACAACTTTTTTTGAACAAAAGGCACTCATTATTGCAGTTAACACATATTCTGCATTATTGATGGTCAATTCGAAACTCATACACTGAACATAACCTTACATAAAATCCAACCCTCCCAGAAAGACGAGAACTGGAAAGTTGCTAGCAGATGGGTACACTTCCGTACACTTTCTGGTCTTGTCAACCACACCAGATAGTGTGGAAAACAGTTCAGGCTGTGAATGGCCTTTTAATTTGTTGCAGACCCAATCCTTTACTTCCTGGGGAGCAGTAATATACACAGACAAGCACAATTCATATTGATAGGATCGCTCTACTACAGTCACCGTATTGAATCAATGCATAATATGTAGCTGCACCTTAAGAAAGAAAAAATAATAAGCATTTTCGTAGTGTCTTATTGAATCAGAATGCTCACAGATAATTACAGTACTTTCAATAACTTTTTTTGAGTAAATACACATAGCCATTTACACCAGCAAGGGCTCACCAACAGCCATGAAATGAGTGACCAATTCATCAGAGAATTGTTCCCTTGACAATGAGACAAGCCCCCTTCCCTTTTCAAAAATCCTATTGTCCACCTTAAAACCATCAAACAGAGCCTTGGTTTAATGTCACATCTGAAAGACAGCAATTCTGGCAATGCTGCACTAGAGTCAGTCTGGACAATGATCGCCTACACCAATGTGAGAATATACATACAGGGGATTAGGCCTCTAGAGCAGTGCAAATAAGCATTGTAACATTCAGCTCCTGGTGCTCCAGAAACAGTTATCTCTCTCAAGTAGTACCTGTACTAAGACCCAAGCATGACAGACACTGACACACACTGACCTGGCCCTTTTTGCTACATCATGGGAAATTTTCAATGGATGTCAAAACCAAATTTATGTTGCTGTTATTTTAAGATTATTTCCTTACAAGGAAATGGAGGAAGAAAAAGGTTTAATGCTTGAGAAATAAAATGTTCTTTATGTGACTCTGGAGATATTTCTGGGGGAGGGGTTGTCTGTGACCTGATTTTGTGTGTGTTTATTTACAGTGGATGGAAGTTAGGTTCAACACTCTGGCAAAATGCCCACACTGCAAAAGAATGTAAGTTTTGTAGATTTTATAGCAAACTGGATTCTGATTTCATCATATGAGGAACATTTCTTTTGAAGTTTAATGTTTTTCAAAATCATATTTGGGTGTGAATTATTCCATTGCTGAGACATTTGTGCATTCATGGAAAAGATTAACACATGTGAAAAAGTAACATACAGGGTTAAAGAGGAGCTTTGATGTAATTGAATTATGTGTTAAAGAATGTCTACCATATGTGTTTGTCATATATTTTTTCATAAAGGAACAAGTAAATTGCTATTTTCTGGTCAAGCACATGAGTTTTGAATGATATGCCCAGAAAACAGGCACATTTCCAGAGGTTAGGCACATAATAGCTGCAGGTGAGTCCACCGTTTGTGACAAAGAGGGGATGGGGGACACACGGCAGGCCTGGGTTAGTTGAGTAGAGAGAGCAAGTAAAAGAGTGCAGTTGGAGAAGGTCACAGAGATAGGGTGGTGTTAGAGCGTGATGGGATTTATAGATGATGGCAAGTAACATACCCCTTGGAGAAATTGGAACAGTCCCTTTTTCATTACAGGCTTTTTAAGATGATTTAAAAACCAGAATATTAAAAATTCCACTCTTGTTAGTTTCATGATTCTGTGGGCAGAGTTGCAGCACAATGTTGCTGACGACGATATGTTGTAATGATGCTGATGCTGATGCTCAGAACATTCTAACATCCGTAGTCCCATTTTTGGCTATTCTGGCTCATTTCCTCTTCCATTTGAAATTAATATGTTGCCAGTGTTGAGATTGTTTTTCACTCTTACCTTTACCACCATCTCCACTAATGACTTCTCCCCCAGCCCTTGCACTGTTACGAGCAGTGTTCCTCAAGGCCTTGGTCCTCTGCTCTTCAATATTTACATGTTCCCACTCAGTGATATCCTCAGACATGGGGTTAACTTCCACATGTATGCAGATGACACCCAACTCTATATCACTGCTTCCACCCTCGTCTCAAGGATCATGCTGTCCTGACACATTGTCTGTCAGACATCAAGTCCTGGATGAGAGCCAATATTCTCCAATTGATGGCAACACTATTCATGGAGGCTCTCTCCACCTCACCGAGCTAGTAGAGAACCTTGTACTATCTTTTAAAAATGAGGGTCTTTTTCGAGGCTCAACTATTGTTTAAACCCCACATCCGTGCCATGGCCTGTTCTGCCTTCCCCCACCTCTGCAACATTGTCAAACTCTGCCAATACCTCTCCCCTCAGTTTTCCGAGATCCTCATCCATGCTTTCATTATGTCCAGTCTTGACTATGCTAACTCCCTGCTCGCTGTAATTTTCAACTCTTCCCTCCATAAGATGCAGTTCATTCAGAACTCTGCATCTTGTGTCCTCTCCTGCACTATGCTCCATGAGATGATCCCTGGCTTCACTGGCTCCCCATTGCCCAGAGGACAGAGTTCAAGATCCTCATCCTCACTTTTAAAGCCCGCCACAATTTTGCTCCTCCCTATCTCTGCGTCCTACTAAAACGTTACTGATTTGCCTGCTCCCTCCACTTGATGGGCACTGGCCTGCTCCATATCCCCTGCCCCACTCACTCAACCATCACTTTCAGCCTCTACCCTCTGGAACTCCATCCTGGATCCCCTCCACCTTGCCCCTTCCTTTGCCTTCTTCAAGGCCCGTCTCAAGATCTTTCACCATGCCTTCGGTGATCCTCCCACCTTCACCATCCTTACCTCTACCCCTCTTGAAATGGGTCTAATATATGTCGATTTCTTATAACATGAAAAATCCAATTATAAAGACATGATGAAAATTTGCTGTTAATAATAATAATAGGCTGGTGGATCCCAGTGAGTGGCTCTCACTGGTTCAATGTTGTATTTTGTTTAAAACTGGGAAATGTTACTGAACAGACAAAAGCCATTCATCTTATTAAGTTAGGGAGATTTATTTAGTTTAAAAAAATCAAAAAATGTTGCTATTATTTACAATATAAACTCTTCATTTTGGATTCCTTTTAGATCGTCTGTTGGTAGTGCACTGCCACGAAGACGGTGCTGTGCTTATGTAACTGTTGGAATGATCTGTATCTTCATTGGAGTTGGTTTAACTGTAAGTACAATAATATATAATAATTACAATAATCCTTGCATTTGATATAGTCTTATCACATTTTCGAGATGTCTCAAAGTGCTTCACGGAATATACCGTGAAGTGAATTGACTGTATGTTTTGTGGGCGAAACCGGCAGCTAATTGCGAACAGCAGTGTCGGAAAAAACAGTCGTGGATTGTAAAACCAAATTATTATTATTTTTAAAGAGATTATTACCCCTGGAAAAGTGATCCCCAATCGACTAACAACTGGGTTGCTACTTACTGCCAAATAAACAGGGGTGTGTGGAGTAAGGAAACATGCCCAACGTTTCGCCCTGACCAGGAGTTAAGCCCAGGTCTTCTCGCTTGTGAGGCGAGTGCTGTAACCACTGAGCTGCAGCACTTGCTCTTGAGATCCAAACATTTTTTCTAGAGTATCTAAGAATAAGACTATCACATATAGGGTTTGAACCCACAACCTTCTGTTAACTGAGCCAGCTGACCATTGTCTAGGAATACAGCGTCGCAAATGAGTGCCCATTGGCACAAATACCAAAAACAACTGAGACCTCTAAAAGCTCTAATATATATAAATAGGGAGCACTTACTTTGTAGCAACACAGTATTCTCAAGGACTGACATATTAAAAAAAAAGTTCAACAATGTGTTTTTACAGTATTAGCATATGCATTTGTTAATCCTCTGTTTCTGAATGAACAATATTATCTTTTAAGTTGCTTTGCTTCATATAAACTAATGCATTGTTTATGTATGTTACTTTGTTATTTAAATCAATTGATTGGAACTGAAGCACATTTGTACAAATGAGTTACATTTTACAGTACATTTCACATCCAGGAAATTAAAGGATTCCCCTAAACTTTACAGTAGATTTCCATACTACCGTTAGCTTTTCACTGATCAAGGATTACTCTTTTCTTTAGGAAGGGAATGCTTTGTGTTTATACTGAATAACATGATTTTCAACTTCTGTGAATCAAGTATGCAAATTTTATGTTGAGAAATTTTAAGATGGGGGAAGAACATTCTCTAGTGTGCCAGCCTGGCTCAGTGGTAGCAATCTCATCTGAGTCAGAAAGTTGTGGGTTCAAGCCTCACGTTGGCATTTGGAATTGTATGGTCTAAGGTGATACTCCAATACAGTGCTGAGGGTATATTGTATTGTCGGAGGAGCCAACCTTTGGATAAGATGTAAACCTAGGTCCCGTCTGCCTGTTCAGGGGGGCGTTAAAAATCTAAATTCGAAAAGAGGAGGGAATTTCTCCTTGTGTTCTGACCAACAATCCCTCATGGCTGTTTGTGGGACACAGCTGTGCACAAACTGGTTGCTGCATTTCGCCCACAAAATAAACAGTTACTTTACAGTATATCCTGTGAAGGGTATTGAGATATCTCAATGATGTGATAGGGTGTTATATCAAATACAAGGATCATTATTATTATTAAGAAGGGTATCATCCTAATGGCAGCAAATGTTTTGACTTTTAGCCAGGTTTATCCCTGATGGGATTTAAAATTGTTGGTGCACACTGACCTAGACTTTACTAACAAATGAATAATCTGGGGGTCTAACCCTCCCTGCATACCCTTATTTGCCTGACGCCCAATGCTCTAACTTATCATCTCTGTCTCCCATTTCACTTTTCCTTAGTCTCATTTGTTTTTTTTTCCCTTTCTTTATTTTGTTTTCTTCTTCCTAAATTTTAATTTCAGTCATCCTGTGGTTGTTAATGGTCCAAATTAATTGCTGCAGTTCCCTAAGTAATAATATTCTACTGTATATATTATTTTATTTCAGATTATTATTCCATTCTTTGATTGTATTATTAGTTTTAGGTTCTGTCTGCCTTTTGATTCAGGTGGACATAAAGGGACTGCTCCATCATTACAATTTCAAAGAACTGAGTATTTTGGTTAACCTGGTTTAAATTCCCTTCCAAATCCAAATTTACTCCAAATTCAAATTAATTGGCTGTTTTGGAAACTTTTCTGTCACATTAGCTGTGGTGTTGGTCAACATACAATGGGCATCCCCATTTTTAGATTGTCCAATGGAGATTATTTGATCTTCACTTTTGAGTGGGTTCAATTAGTCAATAAACTGAGAGGGTTATTTGGGTTATTTCAACTTTCAGTAAGTGTGCACATGTATTTAGCTGAGGGTTTCACCAATTGATATGGAGCAGTCAAGATTTGGCTCAAAAAGTTTAAATTCACTATGCGCAATTTAACTTCTGTGTTTTTTTTAAAAAGGTTGGAACCCAAGAGTTTGCCAGACGATACAGTGCAACATACGTTTCCTGGGTTTTTGCTTATCTTCTCGGCTTGATCTGTCTATTCCGAGCTTGTTACTGGGGAGCCATAAAAGTTAGCTATCCTGAGCACAGCTTTGCGTAGATAAATCTTTCATCCATTGCAGAAGATGTGTTGATCTGCAAATCTTTGATACCGAGAGAATGGACAATGTCAAGTTATTCTGTATTAACTTCATAGACTGATTAGACCCAAAGAGGATGCTCATGTCAGAACATACGCACATTGCACTACAGTTTTATGCAAGTAAACCTTTTTTGTTGTTGCTAGGTTGTCATGTTCTTACTGCAGGTGCTGCATTTACTTTCTGTAAGCTGTTTGTAAATCTCTCCAATTTGCCTTAGTTACTTATAATCATGGAATGCTGTATTGAATTTCCTGCTGTTTTAAGTGTTCACTTTAGCTGCTGTTATATTGCAGAAGTACAACAGAATATGGCAAAACAAACTGGCTTCATAAACATTAAAATATTTCCATATTTGTTTGATACTTTTATTTGCTCTCATAACTTGTAATAAAATGTTGACAACGCTGCCTGCATCATAGCGAAGCAATAAAAACAGTCTATTTGTTGTATTTCACATTATTTCATACTTTCGAATTGTTTGCTTTCTATGAAGTTTTTTTTAAATGCAAAAGGTGTGATTGTCATAAAGTATTATGGTGACAACAGTGATACATGACTGATTGGGTCATGTTTGTCTCATTGTGCAACTATCTATTATGTGTATTATAATAAATTTGACAATAACCAAGTAGGAAAAAACATGGAAAAGTTGTAGTTTTTATCATAAAATAAATTAATTTAACAAAGAATTGAGATAGAAATGTCAGAAATGTTTGTACCAAAATACTTACAGATCCAGTGAAGTAAGTTGCATTGTCAAGAGGGATCCATTTTTTAAAATAATGATAATGGTAGAAATTATTCTACAAATAAAGTATCTAAATATTTGTTGTGCCTGCAGTGTCATTAATTTTAGACTAGACAACTTAATAATGTAAATTTACAATGACAGAGTGTCATTTTTGTTTTAATTGGTATCTTGCCCTTTTCCATTTGGTATATTTCCCTTTTTTGATGTGATCATTATTGTCTTTCTAATTTATCAATATTCCTATGGCCAATGGTTCTGGCTTTTCCTTGCAAGCTATAGCTCTTAGAACACAATAAAACCTTTATTTAATTTATGAAATTACTTCATGCACAGCTCAGACATCATTTCAATCTAAAATTAAAGAAACCTAAAATGGATATTTTTAACCACTAGATGGAGCATTTCACTAAATATTTTAGGTCAAATAAAAATGATGAGAATGAGTCATTCAGAATGATTTTTAAAAATTCAACAAAATGGAAGTTTTAAAGTGAATTCAACTGAAAAATAGATCAAATGGAAACAATTATTGATTATCTGTCGTGGTATCAGGAATTGAAGCAAATTCATCAAAGGTATAACATTTGATTTTGATACAGATGAAGCCAAGCAAAGCTAGAGTTGGCTATTAATATGGTTGCAATATACAACATAAAAATATAACATATGAAAAACAGTCTTGAAAATTCAAATGTTAATGGAGCAACCTGATTTGTAACAGACTTAAAAAGGAAATTGCATGAATACTGCATTATTGTATAATAATAATCCTTGCATTTGATATAGAGCCTTATTCCGTCATTGAGACATCTGAAAGCACTTCACGGAATATATTGTAAAGTGAATTGATTGTATTTTGTGGACAAAACACGGCAGCCAATTGCGCAAAACAGTGTCCCACAAACAGTTGTGGATTGAGTGACCAATTATTATTTTTTGGAGGGATTATTACCCCCGGAAAGCGATCCACCAATCGACTAACAACCAGGTTCCTACTTACAGCTAGGTAAACAGAGGCGTGTGGAGTAAGGAAACATGCCTAAGTTTTCGCCCCCATTCCCCCTCCCTCCAAGAAGCAAACCCAGATCCTCTCGCTTGCAAGACGACAGCACTACCCATTACTCTACAGGACACAACTAGAATAGAATTGTTACAGGTAACGTGCTTGACTAAGCTAGGAGCCAGGCCATAAAATCAATAAATCCTTGCATTTGATACAGTGTCTTTCATGTCTGGAGGGCATCTCAAAGCATTTCACAGGATTTCCTCTAAAGGTTAGTAACTATATTCTGAAGGTGAACACAGCAGTTGTTTACAGCAATTTATAAATAGCAATGTTCCACAATCAGCCATGAAGTGAATGACCAATTTCATCTGGGCTATTGTTCACCAGGACACCCACCAGATATTTGGCTTCCATTTGAATAGCAGGTCCTCAGTTTCACATCTTATCTGAAGGACTGCACCTTCAACAATCAGTGCAACTCCACTACTGCATTGGAGTGTCAGCCTAACTAGTGAGGCAAAGAATGTGAAAAACTATTTAAAACTGCCTGTCATATGGATAGCCATGTACATGTGCACTGAATTATGTGGTGAACAACTAATGAAAGTATTACACAATTAGTTGGTGATTACATAATTATTTTAATTGAATAATTACATAACTAAGTGGACCTGTAATTCCCTCTATACAAATGTATTCACACATTGCATTAATACACTTGCATTTCCAAGATGCATGATGCACAGTAGACCAGTACACATTATCTAAGCTAAATGTTCAGACTAGGTTAAAATTATAATGTCTAGATCTGTCATCTAAAAGTTTGGTATGGCTACATTTTAATAATAATAATAATAATCCTTGCATTTGATATAGCACTTTTCACGTCAGGAGGACGTCCCAAAGCGCTTCACAGAACACACTGTAAAGTGAATTGACTGTATATTTGTGGGCAAACGCGGCAGCCAATTGCGCACAGCAATGTCCCACAAACAGTCATTTTAATTTTAAATTTAAGTCAAATTTTAGCATTGAACTATGATAATAATAATTCTTGAATTTGATGTAGCGCTTTATTATGTGTGGAAATGGTGCAAAACGTTTCACAGGATATCAATGTAGAATATAGTAACTATTTTGTAAGCAAACTTGCATAAGCACTGCAGACCGAAAGATTGAGTTTCACCATGAACAATTTTCCCCCCAAAATACAGGAGTATTGGGAGAAAATTCTGAACTTGTTTGTCTCAGGCAGGGGAAATGATTTTATTCACAATGCTAGAAACGTCCTGCAACATATGATGGGATGCAAATTGGAAAAAACGCTTCCTACTGCCTGTATGTCCCATAGTTGAACATTGTGCTGAGAATGCATAGATACAGTGCGAACATTGAGTTTAGCTTCATTTGGTTTACCTTTTTTACCAGAAGATGGCAGTATTGTCAACAATGATTGCAACCTTTTAAAAGCAAACTGATGGATGGTTTAAATTACAATTGAATTGAAATGGGTATTTGTACTACATCAGCAAATGCTCTTTGTGCCATAATGTCTGTGTTGATCCATGATAGAAGCCGTGAAGAGAAAACTAGAGGGTAAGATTTACAAAAAGTCAAATATTGTATGTTGTGTTCAGTCTGCTGTCAAATAATTTTGCAAATAATTTACTTTACCGTGATTTGTCATCTTTAGTATGCGAGTTACATTCACATGAAAATATTTATGAAAAAGGCAAGTCAAATAACAATCATTAATACTAAAAAGGTAATGATTATATTTGAAAGAGTGGTATTGTGATTCCATGGTATTGTCTTGTTCATTTTATGTATTTTAATAAAGCAAAGTTTTTTGTAATATAAAGTATTTTGAATGGCCTTTCAAAAGGGGGTATTTGCAAGCAAAATATTCTTTTAATTACTTCAATGTTCATGTATTGCTTAATGTATCCCAAATTTTACACACCAATATTGCTGTGCTATTGTAGTTTGTTGATACAAATGTGAAAGATCTCATCTATTACTTATAATGTAGAAGCAGTCATATTTTCAGTGCAAGTCCTGAAATATAATTTCTCTAATGTTCTACAAATCTACAATATTAAATAATAGTCTTAAAAAAACCATATTTGTATTGAGTAAAAGTTTGTTTTCCATTTTTGGCTAGAAGGAATGCAAAAAGTAGCATCACAGCATTTGGGATTACAATATTCGTTTCTGGAAACAGAAAACTAATTTTGGCACAAATGCCACAATCATTCTACTATCTGCACAAACGTTTGCATGCTTTAAATGAAATTGCTTAGACCAAATAATGCAAATGCAATAAAAATACCCAAATAATGGTATTTGCAGGAGGTATTGTATAATTTTATATATTTTTAAATTCCTAACTGATATTGCGAGAAATGTGGCATTCACAAAACGGAAATCTCTGTGTTAATTGCAACTCTCAGTTTGCAAATAAAATGATTCGCCACCATTGTTTTGAAGAAAATTGCAATCCTGAGGGCCTTTAAATGAAATTGCTTAGACCAAATAATGCAAATGCAATAAAAATACCCAAATAATGGTATTTGCAGGAGGTATTGTATAATTGTATTTCATTTAAACCAAAGGTCATTTTGCAGCCAATATTCTGCCTTACATCGATTTGGGATCAGGCTTCAAAATTTACAATTAAGAATTTGTGAAATTCTGTACACTTAAGAAAATAGTCTCTAAGACTAATACCAGGTGAAATGTTTAGGCCCCAGGATCCCATATGGCGGTAATGTTTCATGTTTGTTCCTCAATGGCAAGTATAAAGTCAAGTGATGTTCAGAAAAATGAGGTTTGAGCACCAAGATTTCTTTAGCTAAGAGGGAACCACTAAAAATAACTTGTTTACTTTCCTCAGCATGTTTAAACAAACTGAGAGGCTTGCTGCAGATGAAGGTAAATAAGCATTTATGTCTCAGAGAGCCGCCACATAACCCTGACCTTTTCATCAGATCTTAAACATTGTTTGACCAGTCAGCCCCTAATGATCATCTCTTAAACCAATCCTTGTTTTACAAAGATTTCCAAATCTGGAAGTACACTTCTTAAACAACAAGATTTCGAGCTGCTTTTGCAGAGATGATTGACGTCCGTAGTCAGGTATTCTAAAGTAAATTGCATGGATCCAAGTCAGTTCTTGAAGCACAATAAAGAGTTGAACAGCTAAAAACAAACCCAAGTCATCCTTGCCATTTGTTTCCGATTCAAAGGCCTTAAACATATCTTAAGACCTTTGAATCTCCTCATCAATGTTGAAAGCAGCAACTTGAGCAGAGAAACCCACTGGCACAATAACAAATACCTTTTTGCAAACAGCTATTCAAAAACAAGCAATCATTGTTCAATTTGCAATCATCTAAATTAGTCAGTCGCCAAAACCAAAACTAAGGGAGCTCCCTATTTCAACCACATCATACAATCAATGCTCCTGCTAATACTTACAAAGTGCTGGTCCAAAGAATTACATAGAATAATACAGCAGGTAAACAGGCCTGTTGGTCCAACTAGTCCTTGCTGGTGTTTATACTCCACATGAACTTCCATACCTCCTGAACTCCTCTCTCATAACACTCTATTTCCTTCTCCCTCATGTATGCGTCAAGTTTTCTCTTAAATATGTTGCTGCATCCTACTTCAACCACAACTTCCAGAAGCAGTCCATTTCGCAACTTGTACTGTTGAAAAAATTCAAATTCAATTTTAAATGTATATCATGAAATCAGATTTCAAACAATTATGCAGTAGCTCTATGGTTAGAGCACTTGCCTCGCAAGCGAGCGACCTGGGTTTCATTCCCGTAAGGGCAAAATGTTGGGCAAGTTTCCTTACTCCACAGGCCTCTGTTTACCGAGCAGTAAGTAGGAACCTGGTTGTTAGTCGATTGGTGGATCACTTTTCTGAGGGTAATAATTCCTTCAAAAAAAATTGGTCACTCAACTCACAACTGTTTGTGTGACATTGCTGTGCGCGATTGTCTAACGTGTTTTGCCCACAAAATATACAGTCAATTCACTTTACAGTATATTCT